TATTTGATTAAACCAGCCAACCCAATTGATAGAAATGAAACACAAGGGAGATATGAATAAATACTAGTATATTTAAACCATTCAAGATAAAGACAGTCGGACAGGAACGAAAAAAACATGATGTTAAGATCTACCTAACGTCGGATGAGGAATTTCAGGAAACCACTGAAAAAAGTTAATGCCCTTAACTGAAGTTTTTTTTAAACTTTTTTTTTGTTATTTGTGATGTTTTATCTATCTATCTTCATAACAGATAGAAACAAATCTGGAAAAAGCAAAATAATCACCAAAGACAAAAACAAGAAAGCAAGATGCCTTTAAATTACCATGTCTACCCACGTGTCCAATGTTATAGGAAACCAATAACAGTATAGTAGAACGTTACAGCGTTTATACAATAAAAATATCAGCAATGAAAAAACTGAAAATATCAAAGTAATGAAAAGATAATCACTCGAATACCTATTGGAGTTATCCAATTTCACTGATAATTTTTACTCATTGTTGGCATATTTGGTTGAATCCAGGTCCGTTCGTCCATGTTCACTCTAATACCTGTTCGCCCTGGCTTCGTTCGACCTGGGTCCATTCGTCCTAATTTTTTAAAATTTATTATGTTGTCTTGTTGTACAATGTTTATTTTTTGAATGCAGTTTGTTGAAAGTCGAACCGAATATTTATGTTGTTTTGCTGCTACCAGATTATTATTTGCCATGGATTTGCATTGCAGAATACAGGAATACAAGGCATTAAATATCAAACAACTGAAAACCAAGTTAACTGTATTTGTCATTATTAATACATTTTAACAGTTTGTTGTGATTTTTCATTGATATAACTCTGATATATATAAATTTGATTTTGTAATTACAAATCAGTAGGTGAACGAACTGAGGGTGAACCGACCCTCTGGGACAACGAACCTAGGGCGAACAGAGCCAGGCCGAACATGTTATTCAATACCTTGAAAATGATAGTAGATAGAGAAAAATTGTTGGCATATTTACCTTTAATCTTGAAAATTATAATAGATAGTGGGAAACCATTTACAGCTGAAATTATCAGGAAGACAAGATCTGCAAATAAGTCAACAATGCCAAAATCATTAGTCACCTGCTTGAAATGTTATGGCCGTTTACTTTCGCATTTACTGTAAATATCTATAAAATGATCAGCGAATAAAGATCTAAAAAGAGTCAATTGCAGTTATAGCCCTTTAATGACGAATTAGGGCACATGTTTGATATTTTCGGTAATGATCTTGAAAACTATATAAGATAGTGAGACACTTTAAACAGCCCAAATGATCATTTCAGCTTCCCAAATGTGAACTTTCCATTCGTATGTAGCAACATTCAAACTGCGCCTGCGTATGTAATATAAATCTCCAAGATGAAGACGATATTCTACAGCTTGCATCTTATAATGATTTCGTGGCAAGTAATTGCCCACAAAGAGCTTAGATATATATCTTATCAAGAGCTCCAAGCGGTGATGTTGAAAACAACCCTTCAAAAGTGTTACCGACACCATCACCATTTGATTGACCGTTATGGAATATTTTTTTCCGTCATCTTTTCCTCGATGTGACCTTCCGAAGTAGACCTGGTTTGAACCTTCTTCAACAAGACTACGGGTAAGACAGATGGAACATGATCTGCATGTCCCTTTGTTATTTTTTGCATGTTTTAGACAAGGTTAACTAAGTGAAATGACCGTAATCGTTTCCTTTCTATAGGAGTTGCTGTGTTCTAATGACGATATCTACACAATTTTGCACTTTTGGTGGAAAAAATATACGACATCAGGAAGCTAAATAACAAGAATGGTCAGACGGATTTAATATTCATGTACAAATATTCAATTACGAAAATCGTCAGTCGACTCGTTTTAGCAGAAATCAGACAATCAGCTAAGATTTTACCTTTTGTGTGTGTATGTGTGTGGCTATAATCTTCAAAACTATAATGATATACTCACAGAAATTAGTAAACACGACAAATAATCTGTAAAGCATGGTCTACTGTTAGTAGTATGATTTATTGCCTTTCAATACTCTTACAATAAAGACTTTATTTGTGATAGAATATCTAAGAAGTCTTTTTAAATCGAGGCTATCAATAAATTTGTCGTGGAAGTTGTTTTTGTTTAAATCACTCATCTTCTCCTCCTTCCATTATCTACTTGACGGAACGCAGGTCTCATGTAATTTCAGTCAGACAGGCCTTAGCTTTTGCAGGTTGTTATGTTATAATATTAGTTTCCTTTTCATTTTGATTTGATTGTTGTGATTTGACGATCGTTATGGAGATAAGGTCAACATTTTATCTCTTGTTATCCTCTGATAAAGTAATCGTATGGTACATTGCGAGTGCAAATAACCTTAAGTTTCTTGTTTGATGGCTATGAAGTTATATAAAAAGAGGTTGTTAGATATTTTTTGGCTAGCCATGGTCAATTCGTCCAATTAAAACCAACAGATAAAGTCGTTATGAGGAGCTTTCCAAGTGGTGATACCATGATATTAGTCGGTGAACACGTGTTGATCCTTTAAAGGTCTTATCTTTACATTGAAGCCTACAGAATTAGACTATTTACCGGGTTTGTACATGTAATAGCATGAGCAACACGACGGGTGCCACATGTGGAGCAGAATCTGCTTACTCTTCCGGAGCACCAGAGATCACCCCATGTTTTTGGTGGGGTTCGTGTTGCTTAGTCCTTAGTTTTCTATGTTGTGTCTTGTGTACTATTATTTGTCTATTTGTCTATTTGTCTTTTTTTCTTTTTTAGCCATGGCGTTGTCAGTTTATTTTCGATCTGTTTGACTGTCCCTCTGGTATCTTTCGGCTCTCTTTTACGTCAAATAGGATAATCTCATTCTTGAGGACCTCTTTAGATTGCTTTAATTGTAACGTACTTAAAAATGTATAAAGAAAAGCACTCTAAGATACTGAAAAAGAAGGTTATTAAAAACTGACAAAACCAAACGCTGAACCAAATCAATCAAAGGAACGACTGGAAAAAAATTGCCATACAAGGCACTCAATCGGATTTGTAGACTATAGAATAACCGGGTAGTACTACAGGAAATAGGCCCAAAAATTAAAGAATAGAGAAAAATTAGCCAAAAAATAAAGAATAAAGAATAAGGGGGGTGCTGAAATACAAAGAATAAGAAATATCGGGCAAACAATAACGAATAGAGAAACATGGCATAAAAGATTAAAGAAAACAAGATAAAAAGACCCCACATCGAGACCCGGTTACATTCCTGGGCCCGGTTGTTCAACTTGTCGTTAACTTAACGTAAGCGTTAAATTTAACGTGTCGTTAAATACTCTAACGTGTCGTTACTTAACCCATGGTTAAAATGGTGTTGTTCAACTTGGTTTAACGCCGTCGTTAGTTAACGATGACGTTAAATATTTTAACCCCTCGTTAAATATTTAACTAAAGTTTAGAGATTATTTTTGTTACCCACAATGCATTGGTTTGTTAATATTTATTTCAACATGGCTGACATTTCTTCTGCTAAAAAACAAAGGGACAGAAAACCTAACTTCACTCAAGAAGAAGTAAATGTTATACAAGATCAAGTACAAAAAAATTACAAAGTGTTAAATGAAAAGTTTGGGGATGGAGTTACCAATTCTAGAAAGACTGCTGTCTGGAGCAGGATTTCTATCTTGGTCAGTGCTCTGGGTGTTGCCAACAGGTCTACCAAAGACTGTAAAGACAAGTGGGCTAACACCAAGAAGGAGGTTAAAAAGGTGTTTGGCCAACTGAACAAAGAGCAGAGGGCTACTGGTGGTGGTCCACAGCCAAAAAGATTGAGTCTGGCCATAGAAAGGACAATAGACCTTTGCAAAGACTCGGCTTCTTTCAAAGGTCTTGAAGGAGTTGAAAGTGTACTTGGTATGTATCAGAAACTAATTCATACTCTTTTGTGAATATATAAAAATAATGAATCTTAAAATGCTATTCGTTATTCAGTTATTCTCTCCGATTTCATGTAACTTATTGCTGATTAAAAAAATCGCCGATTATTTATACCATGTCATCCAAAATTGACAGGTATTTAACTGATTTATTGATCCTTAATCATGTGTAAGCTTAGTATTTAATTGGCTTTCGGCTATGTTCAGTTTTACTCAGTGAATAATAAGTTATTTTAATTCATTTAGTCAATTATTTATGTCGTCTGCATTCACATATTTACGTCCTAAATATTAACCTTGAAAGACGCTCAGCATGCTAATGAACATATTAGGTTTTGAACCTTATTACCTCATGACACACCTTCTTCTAACGATGGTTGATTTTAAATATTGTCATTTGACAATGTTGTAATGATGGTTTGGGACAATACATGTTCAGTTCAAATTTTCGTTTATCCATGGAAGAACCTGCTTGCTGTTATTTCCCTTTGATTTGTAGCCGACAGGACGATGTCTCTCGGACCCTGGCTAACCCCGGACCCTGGCTAACCCGTACCTTAAATTCGATCGTGGAATACGCTCGTAAAGGCCTAGACTAAAACAATTTTATTAATCATCTTTTGATGATCGTTCAAGATTTTGAAAATTAATATATATAGATGGTGTTAAACTTGGTGAATAGAGTGAAAAAGTTATGTTGATAAAAAGGGGGAGGGGGTCCTACAGAAAGGTATACACAGAAGTGCCACTGGAATAAGTCCTTTTTATTTTGTCAAATATACCAAGGGGATGTAATTTCAACATCTACAATTAAGTGTAAAATGTAGATGGGCCAGTAATTTTCATTTTACAATTAGCAATATATATATAGCCAGTGAGTGACATTGTGAGTTTAAATCCAGCACGGGGCAGGTGCACTCCAATCCAATGATAATTGACTAAGGATTGGAAATTTCCCTACCTAATGTCGGTTGTTTACGCCAGCTTCATCCACCAATATAAACTGACTTCCACGAAATAGCATGGAGTGTTGAAAGTGGCGTTAAACAACAATCCATTAATCCATCAAAACCAATAGATTTACTAGAAAATTATTTTAAATGGTGCAAAACTGCTTTATAATTGGACAGAAGTTTGTCTTCTGATATAGTTCTGTTACTAGCCATCTCATTTTGGTTGTCATTGATGCATATGGTTTGTCAGGCTAGGTCAATGAAAGCAAAGAAAGACTGGCTAAACAAAAAACCTCTTTAAGTAAGAAAATTTAACAATAGACACACATGACTTCCATTCATGATAATTTATAACAACCACCTTATTATATTTTCTAGTTGACAACTCAGCTGCATTGCCAGAGGAGAGTGCAACAAATTCCCAGGACCTGTTTGATACCCCTCCAAGCCATCCACTGTCCCTATCTGGATCTGATTCCATTCATCAGCCAGTACCAATTCTACCAGCTGTAAATATCCAGGTGCCATGCCCAGCAGCTGCAGTAGTTGAGTTGGGGACTCTAACAACACAGAAAGCAGTAAATCAAAAGAAGAGGAAAGCAACTGCTGATGATGTTTATGAGCTACAGGTAAAATTTCACAATTGCATTTATTTTAGAAATAATTCAGAATAATTTAGAAACGATTGACATACCATTGTCTTATAATGAATGACTCGGTGGTAGGTTCAAGACTGTCATAACTCGGAAAAATGAAAAGGTAAAATTTATCAACACTAAGAAAAATTGACCTTTTGGGTCCCCATCGATTGGTTTGTATCTATAGACAATGATGTGAGACCGTGAATCGATCTTAAATTACACTTAATCAACATTTCATTTTCAGATGTTGCAATCTTCATCTTTATGAAAATCTTCCAATATAATTAATTTAAATTTGTGGGCTTCCAGCCTCTGGACAAAGCATATGTCCAACAGATCATACACTATATCTGGAACTCTCAATTTCATGCAAAACTTCTGTAAATTCCACAAGAGTTGTAAGGTATACAGACACATATAAAGATATACCGGTATGTTAAAAATATATAGATTTACATGTATCATTTTCATTTCAGATACTGTATTTGAAGGGAGAAATGGCAAAGCAGACTAAAGAGATGAGGAAATTAGATCTTCAGATAGAGTTGCTGGAAGAAATGAAACGAGACAAAGAGAATACTCCACTAACATTTTCTCAACTTTTAATGAATTAAATTATTTATTTTTCTTATCAATCAACAATTATTTTCCCAAAAAAATGCATGTGTACGGTACCAAGTCACAAATGATGTTTAGGACTCAATTTCTTCGTTCAATAATATTTTGCTTTTTTTTTATTTTGATTTGATATATATACCACTTTTGAGTCTCGTGTTATTTTTTGGTGTATTCGAGACAACTGAATTTTACAATTTGTATGTTATGTTGTTTTTTTTTTAATTCTGGCTATGCATTTTTGCGCCTGTCCCAAGTCAGGAGCCTCTGGCCTTTGTTAGTCTTGTATGTTTTTTAATTTTAGTTCATTTATATGTTTTGGAGTTTAGTGTGACGTCCATTTTCACTGAACTAGTACACAATTTTATTTAGGGGCCAGCTGAGGACCACCTCCGGGTGCAGGAGTTTCTCGCTGCGTTGAAGACCCATTGGTGGCCTTCGGCTGTTGTCTGCTCTTTGGTCGGGTTGTTGTCTCTTTGACATATTCCCCATTTCCATTCTAAATTTTATTGGAAATGTTTATATTTTGGCACTGTGTTCTGACCTTGGATTTGATCACTCTATTTTTATAAGGGCCATTCATTTTGATCGTTTGCTTTACATCCAGTGGCAAATATTTCATGCATGTTCATGATGAGAACAAATTAACAAAGAGTACAATAGGTATGATCAGACCCCTCACAAGTTTTTGTAAGGGCTCTTATAATATCATAGCGTTACACTATTTCCACACAATGCAATCAGATTTTACATCCCCTTTCTAACCGGATGTGCCCGCGTATTTACACATCCAACAGTCTATGGAAGACCCACTTTGCGGCAAGGGTTTTACTGATTGGACGAACAAAGTCCAAAGGATGACCTTAAATCTATACCTTAATCCTTAGGGTAAGATATCATTCAGAGTAGAATTAACAAGGAGATGATGTGTAAAAAAGATGTTGACGACGGACACCTAGTAGTGCCAATATCCCACATTACCGTAAATGTAATATGATCTCATAATTTGCTTTCAATTCAACATGTCAAATGCATGTGTTTTGAGAAAACATAACTTGTATTATTTATCACAATTTTATATTGGATGAAAAATAAAGACTCTTTTGTGTTCAAAACATGTATTTCAGTTGAAGAAAACTCTTGCGATATGCTCTCTAATGTGTCTACCATCCTGTTCTCCTTCAAAATGCGGAACTTCCACTGGCTGGTCTTGCTGAACATGTACACCAAAAACATCATCCAAAGGTTCATTCCTTGTTAAAGCTATGTTATGTAGAACAGCACAAGCACCAAAGACTCGACAGACTTTTTCTGGTTTCATTCTGACCTGAAATTTAAAAACATAATTATGGGCATGAAGAGTTAATTTTTAATTCGGATATCTTTCACTTGGAAAAAAATACTGTTTCGGAAGTGTATTCTCTTCTACAATTGTCTCCATGTTAATGACTTTTATTCATTGCATTCTAAAATAAAATGCTCCGCTGGGCGCAGCTTGATACGACCGCAGAGGTCGAACCCTGAACAGTTGGGCCAAGTATGGACACAACTGAATTTGGATTGTGATTAAATATTTGACACAGCATAGGTTTCTGACACAGAATGAATGTGGTCTAAGAACTTAAAAATTTTTAATTTACCTATTCAAGCCATATCATTATTATTTGCTTTTATATATAAATCAGAAATAACCAATTTAAAATGGAAAATTTCAAAGAAAAAAAAAAGGAAAAAAAGGAAACAAAAATCCCTCCCCCAAATTTTTTGAACCCCCTTATGATTCATCATCCCCAAACTCAATCCCAGCCTTCACTTTGTGGTATGGTACCCTGCAGTACAATTTCAGAGAGATCCATACACTTGAACACAAGTTATTGTCTGGAAACTAGAAAAATACTTATTTTTGGCCCCTTTTTGGTCCTTTATTCCAAAACGTTTTGGGCAATTACCCCCAAACTTAATTCCAGCTTTTCCTTTGTGATATGGAACCTTGTAGTACAATTTCAGAAAGATCCATACACTTACACACAAGTTATTGTCATGAAACTAGTAAAATGCTTGTTTTTTGCCCCTTTTTTGGCCCCTAATTCCTAAAATTTTGAGGCAATTACCCCCAAAATCAATCCCAGCATTCCCTTTGTGATATGGAACCTTTTGGTACAATGTCAGAGAGATCCATACACTAACACACAAGTTATGTCTGGAAGTTACAAAAATGCTTATTTTTGGCCCCTAATTCCTTAACTGTTGGTACCATAACCCCCAAAATCAATCCCAACCTTCCTTTTGTGGTATTGAACCTTATGGTAAAATTTCATAGAGATCAATTCATTTAAACTAAAGTTAGAGTGCGAAAATCAATGTGTCTTCGGACGACGACGACGACGCCAACGTCATACCAATATACGACCGCAAAAACAATGGTTACTTTAATAGCAGGTTCACTATTGACAATCTTTAATTCATATGAACTGTGCGCCTTTCTGCAACAATTGTCTCTAGTTTTAGGGAGCTATCATTTGATTTTTTTGGGGGGAGGGGGGCTTGTATGAAATTTAAAAAAAAAGGCAGGACAGGAGTTTTGAGGAAAAAAAAGGCAGAATGACAATTTATGTAAAAATAAGTGTGAAAAATAAAAAGGCAGGACAGAGATCACAACTAAAAGAAAAAGACAGGACAATTTTTTTTTCATCCTAGCCTCCCCCCCCTTAAAATTAAATGGTAGCTCCCTTAGTGTCTACTTGTCCTTTTCATAATAAGTTTCTTTTTTGTGTCCCTTTTTTCTCTATATATTTTCTTTCTTCTCGATTGAAGTTTTCTTGCATTTGTTGTACAAAACTGCTGAGGTTATTTAACTGTTATAGCTCTGCATCATAAGGGGTGTTTTTAAAGATGATTCGTATATATATTATTTGTACATAAATCTGGAAGTTACTTATCTCGTTTGAATTGTTTAACATTTGTCATTTTTGGGCCTTTTACAGCTGACTATGTGGCGTGGATTATCTCATTGTTGAAGGCCGTACGGTTACCTATAGATGTTAACTTCTATGTAATTTGGTCTCTGGTTTTGAGTATTCTCATTGGCAATCATACCACATATTTTTATTTCAATATATTTTAAGTATTCTATAATTATTCTTACCTCGGAGTGCAAAACATGAAATCTTCTCTTTAAGATTCCAAAAGCCCTTTCAATAATGGATCTTGTGCTGGAGTGTGCTCTATTAAATCTTTGCTGGTGTCTTTCTCTGGGATTTGGATAGGGTGTCATGAGAAAAGGGCGACATGCATACCCGCTGTCTCCGAGGATCAAACCGTCTGCAAGTCCTCTGTTGTTTGTCTCCAGGTAATGACACAGGTTTGAGGTGTTGAAGATGTGGGAATCATGGGTTGACCCTGGCCAGTTAGCAGATATATTGGTAAACTTCCCTGAAAATATATTAAACTACTTTAATTTTATGAGGAGTACTTATTTAATGTTACAGTTAACTGCAGCTTGAATAAAGGTCAGTCTATTGTTACTTGTGACAAATAGCGAAGGAAACGTACGTATTTTTTTTTCCTGAAAACAATTTTGAACATGCATAAATTATAAAATTATTGAATATACTGATAGGTTCAATCAGAGACATATAATATATGTCTCTGGTTCAATCAAATCATCATGGAATAAAAGTTAAACGTACAAAAAAATTACAACAGTAATATGCTTTCATTTATAAACATTGTATAGATTAGAAATAGTACATATGATTTAAGTGGCACATGAAACAGTGTTTTGGGTCCCCTCACAGGTGCGCGTTCTAATTGAAAAAGATAACATACAATGCCCCCACCCCAACCCCAAAGCCCAACTATGATTTATAAATTGTATAAGCACTAAGGCCCCATTTGTTAATATTACTCAAAAACTTTTCAACGTACAAATGTATTTATACATATTTTTTCTGCTGATGAGGGTATAGTTTAACAAAAGAGCTTTGAACGTACAAATTAAAAAAAAATCCGTTATTTTTATTTATTGAGGGGTGTTCCACGGGTCCCTGATTCACACTTCCTTATCCCCTTACTCCTGGACAAAAATCGATCGAAATTTTTTCCCATGTTCCCTCACCCTGTCCCCCCCCATCTTTATTAGCCTCAGATTCCGATATCTGCATCGCCTTTTAATGCAAAATATGCAGATGAACATTTGGGGTGAGGGTCGTCATTTTACAACTCCATTTAAGGAATAAGCGTTCTAAATTTAGTTATCGTGGTCATCGTCGATCGATCACTGGTAATATTTGGGTCGTATAACATCGAGGGCCGAGTTGATCGTTTACTGACGAGAAAGATTAAGGGAGATAATAATAAAGGTAAACAAATAAACAGACGAAGAGGAGATCAGAGATACACTAGATTACTAAATAAATAAGTACCTTCGTAATCACACACAGCCTGCACGTTCACACTATGGTACCCCTTCCTGTTGACAAAAGCTGCCTCGTCCTCTGATGGTCCTTGTATCTTGACGTGCGTGCAATCAATGCATCCCAAAACATTTGGAAAGTTCATTTGTCTGTGGAAACCACACTTCATTCTGTTTATAGAATTAATGTCTTTTGGCCACTGGATAAAGTTGTCTTTAACATCGAGCAAAGCATTAGTTACATCATTTACTGCTCTAGATACAGTTGCTTTATCGTACCCCATCGTATCTCCAATCACTTGTAAGAATGACCCAGAGGCATAAAACCTTAAGCTATGCATACATGTACTTGTTGTTCCACTGTTAAAGCAGTTTCCTTTGTTGTGGATCTCCTCAATTTATCTCCCACAATATTACATATGTAGGCTATAGAGTCTCTTCCAAACCTATATCTTGTCCTCATTTCAGTATCTGTCAAATTATTTAGATGAGAAACCATTCCTCTGAAGATTCTCTCTTTTCTTTGCCTAGGTACCATCAACAGAGCAGCCATTTTATAAATTATAACCCTTCGTTAAGTATTTAACGAAGGTCTATAGCAGCGTTAGATTTTATAGAAGTTAACGACAGTTTAACGTTGCGTTAAATTTAACGTAAAGATGAACAACAGGTTTAACCATGCGTTAAATTTTAACGATGCATTAGCATATTTTAACGACAGCGTTAGACTTAACGACAAGTTGAACAACCGGCCCCTGAAGGTTACAGACACTAAGAAATACTAAAATATTGGACAAAAATTGATAAATGAGTTTTTTCACTTGATTATTAATGAAGGATCCCTTTGGTTTATCGTGGACTTTAACCATAATCGTATGTCAAATATTTCGAAAAATAAGTCGTTTACCTCTGTTATATTGATATCAAATATGGACTGATTCAACTATCAGGACCACAAATTAAGTAGAGACATGGAGGCAGTTGATGACTACCAGGAATCAGCAAGGCAATATTAATAAAAAAAGAAAAAGAAAGAAAAAGGAAAAAAAGTTATATAAATGATATGTCAAATTGAACCTCTGTTCGCGAATTTTATTCATCAGGCTTAGGAAAAGTATCGGAGTTTAAGAATCAATAATCAGTGTACACAGAGATATGTCTCGTCTGTATATGATTTTGAAATTGAGATGCAAATGTTGAAATAAAGGCGTGACAAAAATAATTTTAGTTCTTTTCACATGACATTCCAGTATAACAATTATGTTTACAAACTATCTAAATATTATTTGTTGAATAATAATAATAATAATAATAATAATAATAGTTTCTAAGAATATCGGTGAATTCAGCAACAAAACTAAAGTCAATGTAAAGTGTAATAATTCTTACTTAAGAATAAGGCAACGTACCGTAGAAACGAATGATATTGTAACGTTCGTAATTAGTTGGTTCCTAACCCTAACTTAAGCTTAAATCCGGCAATTGTTATGGCACCCTTAACGGAGTTGGGTTGACATATTGTTATTCTACGTTTCTTTTTTTTTCTCTTATTATGGCACCCTCAACGGAGTTGGGGTGAAATATTGTTATTCTACGTTTCTTTTTTTTCTTTTTTTCTTTTCTTCCACACTTTTTTGTCCGCGCTAGTTCTCGGGATTGAATGGACCAATGTTGATGAAACTATGCTATAATGTAAAGCACCACGTGAAGTTGTGCATCTGACTATGGAATTGTCCAAAATGGCCACCGTTTCCATGGAAACGGCAAAAATGTAAAAAAAAAAATCCAAATCCAAATCTTTCATTATAAGACTCAGCTGGATGAAACTTTATGGAAATGTTAACTGGTATGCCTAGATAAGATTTGTATTTAGAAATTCTAAAATGGCCACCATTGTCATGGAAACAGGGCGAAAGTTTAACATTGGCCCTATGGGAAAACATACAAAAGCAGCATTTTCTTAAAGAATATTAGATTAAACACATAGAAACTTTATGGGTATGTAACATGTAATTGGTCAAAGAGGAATCTGTCTGTGGAATTTTGAAAATGGCTACCGTTACCATGGAAACTACAAAAATTTAAAAATGCACCAAAGTTTATGAAACTTTACAGAAATGTTAACTGGCATGTGCAGAGTTAATATATGATTTTGGAATTTTCAAATGGCTGCCGTTATCCTGGCAATGGGGGAACGAGGGTGCCATCCGTTATTGCTAGCAACTACAAATCTACTTATGGCACCCTCGACGGAGTTGGGGTGACAAATTGTTATTCTACGTTTCTTTTTTTTCTTATTATGTCACCCGATCGACAATGTCGGGTGACATATTGCTTTTCCTCTGTTTCTTTTTCCCTACTATTATTATTTTTCTTCCATCTAATTTTGTCCGGTAGTTTTCTCGGAGGCAATGGAACCAATCTTCATGATTGTTAAGCATAATGAGGACCACCATCAGTGGAGTGGCAGTGAAACTTTGGAACTTTATAATGGCCGTCGTTTCCATGCGAACAGCAAAAATGTGAAAAATAGTTTTTTTGTTTTTGATGACTAATTTGAGAATGCCTGAACCAAAAATAATCAGATTTTTATACAACATAGGTATCCACTATATACAGGTTTTGGATGATTATGAAAATCATTGGAACTACTGTATTTGCCATGGAATTTGGGGAAAGGTTTCCCACTATAACCCTTTGGGAAAAACCTTAATGTAGCATTTTCTCTCTTAAAATGGTAGGTCAAATCAATTGAAACTTTGATGGTATGTTCCCTCCCATGTACCAATGTGGCATCTGTCATTACAATTTTTGGAATGGTCTTTGTTACCATGGAAACCAGCAAAAATGTCAAAAATTTCAAAATGCACCAAACTTAATATAACTTTATATTAATGCTAACTGGCATGTATAGATAAGACTTTTGACTTTGTAATTTCCAAAATGGTCGCCGTTGCCATGGAAACAGTAAAAATGTGAAAATTTCAAAATGCTCCAAATGTTCTGAAAATTTACAGAAAGATGTATTGCCATGTATATGTGTGCATTGACTGTTTAAAAATTTTAAAATAGCTGCAACTTAGTGGCAATGGGGTGACATCCGCTATTGCTTGCAATGGCAAATCTAGTTTTTATTATTTTTCTTCCACACTTTTTGTCCGCGCTAGTTCTCAGAATTGAACGGACCAATGTTGATGGAACTGAACTATAATGAGGACCCCATGTGAAGTTGTGCACCTGGCTATGGAATGGTTCAAGATGGCCGCCGTTTCCATGGAAACAGCAAAAAAAGCGAAAAAAATCAAAGTGTTCCAAACTGAATGAAACTTTACAGAAATAGTAACTGGCACATGTAGAGTTGCAGTTTGACTTTGGAATTTTTAAATTGGCTGCCGTTACCTTGGCAATTCGGGGAAGAGGTTGCCATCCGTTATTGCTCGCAATTACAAATCTAGTTTTTATTACTTTTTTACGTTAGCGTAGCCAGTGCCTACCTATAATGCATACTGAAATCTGTGCTTGTCAAGGCGAGAATCAGTAAAAAATGTATTAGTGTTTTAAAAGCTGTTGGATTTCAATTTGGTCATTGTCAAAATTTCGATGGCAGTATTGAAAATAATCGCCAGAGCTGTCGATTGAGCGTCAAACTAAAATGAAATCTGCTATAAAAGATAAAGGCCATGTCGTAGTTGGATCGAATTTGATTATGATTAATAGGCATGTCTGTTCAAACGAGAGAAAATGGTTCCTTAAAACATTAACAAAATTTGATGAACATCACAAACTAATACACCATCTTAGATGCTGAAGTACAAAGAAAAGGTTGGGATATACCCCCTGTAGAATACTGTTTATATTCTTTATTACTTGTGTCGATGCTTTATACGTTATTTCTTAACATTTCTATACCTTATATCAGCTTTCATTGCTTGCACTTCTGCTGAAAATATAGATGGTACACATGTACATACTTCTCTGTAAGATATTCAGATTGTATTTAACGAGCTCCAAAAAAGTTCATTAACTTCGCCGTGATATTGAAATAATAGCAGTTGCAATCGTATACCTGTTCAACCGTTGTCCATAGAATCTGAACAGCTATCAAGTTTTCAAAGAACGAAAATATCAATAGAGCAAGACATATCGCAAATAAAATGTAAATTACGACTTTGACAACATATTGTGATAAACTATATCAATGTTATTAATAATTTTACTTAGCTTGAAAAGTCAAATAATTAAAGGAGAATTTAATACAAAGAGTATCAGTTAGGAAGAGTGCAGGCCCTCGCGTAAATCTAATGAATACTATTTAAGAAGTTTTAATTTACAGCCCTGATTATTGCAAAAATACACATTTGTTAATGGCATCTGTTAGTTTCCAGAACTTCTGTGTTGTAATGAATTATCATTGATTTGGTCATAATTTTAAATTAGCTGTTAACAAAACGTTGATTTTTTCGAATTATAAGGAAGGGTAAGCCCAGGAATAGGTTAACTTAGTTGGTTTTGTCAAAACTATTCGGAAATTCGGGATCCAAATACTCTTTAACTGCGTACTGAATTTTGCCTTTTTAAAATTTTTCTAGCGCCACCGATGAATATTATGAAGACGGACAGCGCGTCTGGCGTGCAAAATTTTAATCTTGTTAACTTTGATAAGTCTATTTATAATAGAATCGCAATTTCATAGGAACGAAAGGACAGACATACACGACTTTACAGAAGTTCTAAGTAGAGTAGTAGCTTTCAACTGCCAGAGGTTTCGAATTCAATCCATTGTAAAAACGTGGTAATAATGAAGAAAAAGCAGGCTGCTCTCCAGTTAAGATTAAAAAAAAAAACAAAGTTTGAAGTCGTTAATCATTTCAATTTGAAAAAAGTAAAACAACAGAAATACCGAACTCCGAGGAAAATTCAAAACCAAAAGTCCGTAATCAAAAGGAAAAATCAAAAGCTCAAACACATCAAACGAATGGATCACAACTGTCATATTCCTGACTTGGTACAGACATTTTCTTATGTAGAAAAATTTGTATATGATCAGATATACTGAAGGTAATTTACGAATATATTACAAGGTTTAAATGGGCAATGGCATTGGAAAAGGGAAGATGTCACATGTAACACCACGTGTTTGGCAGCAGTTAGTACAGGTGCAGTTATTGCAACCCCATTGGCATTATCAGCCGCAGGATTTGGCGTTGCAGGTTTTGCTGCTGGGACAATGGCTTCTAAATTTGTGGCAAAATGTATGGCTGCTGAAAGCTTGGGTGCCTGTTTTGAATCGGTGAACGTCCCCGATTATATGCCAACGGGTTCAATGGTTTTAAGATTGTGT